GGGGAGGGTCAGAGGGAGAAGCAGACTCCCCGCTGAGCAGGGAGCCCGATGCGGGACTCGATCCAGGGACTCCAGGATCATGACCTGACCCGAAGGCAGTCGCTTAACCAACTGAGCCACCCAGGCGCCCGGTTTGCTTATATTTTTAATGATTGCTCAACTCTACTTCAAGTTGCAACTTAGTCACTGTTGTAGATAGACACTGTGTGCCACATGAAAATAACCTACCCTTTGATAATGCTTTATTCTCCTAAAACAAGTTTGCTCATCTGTAATAGGATCCAACTTCTCTGTATACTGGAGTGAATAATACCAGTCTTGACTATACCTCTTAGGTGAGAGTTCTTTGAGAAATAGGATGAAGTGTATAGATATATTATTTTATATTTTTAGGACAAAAGTTCTTTGCTAACTTAATAAAGTATCCATTTAATGGGTAAATTCTTAGAAACATACAGTCTCCCTGGGGCACCTGGGTGGCTCAGTCAGTTAAGTGTCCAACTCTTGATTTCGGCTCAGGTCATGATCTCAGCATTGTGAGCTTAAGCCGCACGTCAGGCTCTGAGCTCAGTGGGGAGTCTACTTGAGATTTTCTCTCTCCCTCTCCCCCTACCCCTTTCTTTCTCTCTAAAATAAATAAATCTTTAAAAAAAGAAGGAAACATACAATCTTCCAGAACTGAATTAGAAAGAAATAGAAAATCTGAACAGACCGATTGTTAGTAATGAAATTGAATTGGTAATCAAAAAACTGCCAACAAACAAAAGTCCAGGGCCAGATGGATTCACAGGTGAATTCTACCAAACATGTAAAGAAGAGTTAATAGCTATTCTCCTCAAACTATCCCAAAAAATAGAAAAGGAAGGAAGGCTTCCAAATATGTCTTACAAGGCCAGGATTACCCTGATACCAAAACTAGAAAAGACACCATAAAGAAAGAAAACTACAAGGGGCGCCTGGGTGGCTCAGTCGTTAAGCGTCTGTCTGCCTTTGGCTCAGGTCATGATCCCAGAGTCCTGAGATCGAGCTCCTCATTGGGCCCCCTGCTTGTCAGGAAGCCTGCTTCTCCCTCTTCCACTCCCCTTGCTTGTGTTCCTGCTCTGTCTCTCTCTCTGTCAAATAAATAAATAAAATCTTTAAAAATAATAATAATAAAAAGAAAAGGGGCGCCTGGTTGGCTCAGTTGGTTAAGCGACTGCCTTCGGCTCAGGTCATGATCCTGGAGTCCCGCATCGGGCTCCCTGCTCGGCAGGGAGTCTGCTTCTCCCTCTGACCCTCCCCCATCTCATGTGCTCTCTCTCATTCTCTCTCTCTCAAATAAATAAATAAAATCTTTAAAAAAAAAAAAAAGGAAAGAAAACTACAGGCCAATATCACAGATGAACATAGCTGCAAAAGTCCCCAACAAAATATTAGCAAACCACATAAAACAATACATTAAAAGGATCATTCACCGCAATCAAGTGGGATTTATTCCAGGAAAGCAAGGATGGTTCAATATTCACAAATCAATCGGTGTGATATACCACATCAACAAAATGAATGATAAAAATCATAGTTATTTGAACAGATGCAGAAAAAGCATTTGACAAAATTCAATATCCATTAATGATAAAAACTCTCAACAATGGGCGCCTGGGTGGCTCAGTTGGTTATGCGACTGCCTTCGGCTCAGGTCATGATCCTGGAGTCCCTGGATCGAGTCCCGCATCGGGCTCCCTGCT